GACATTCAGTTGAACCCAAGTCCTTCTTTTGGGACCATTTTGCTACTAATGCCTAACTTCTGATTGAGGAATGAGATTTCAGGTGTGTAAGCCTCTGCTTGAACTGTCCCCACTGCTAACTGTGTCACAAACGTCTTTTTTTTTTTTTTTTTTTTTTTTTTTTTTTTGGTTTTTCTCCGGTACCAGGAACGGAACTCACGACCTTGTGCTTCCCAGGCAGGCGCTTTGCCCCTGAGCTAAATCCCCAGCCCACAAACGTCTTGATATGAGGATGGGACATAGGACCTAAGATGAGAGTATGAATTGCACTACTCTATGTTCTCATTCTATGGCCATGGACTCCTTTTCTACCACAAGTTCCTTTCCAGTTTCAGTACAAACATGACTTGTTACGTTAATCAATGACTGCGATCCACTTTGTATTTCCTGCTTCCAGGCTGAGAGAAAAATAAGTTATCGCCCTTTAACTTGAGTGATTTCAAGTTATTTTTAATCATGAAAGTAGAAACCAAAAAAGTAAGAAAGACCCACGTTTGGCTGGCTACCCATGAGGTGGTGTATTCAAAAAGATAGATATTCACTGTTCTAAAATCAGATAACTCCATGTTGTTAGCTCCATTTGCGGGGTTTGACACACCACTGTAAGATTTGATCTTTCCCTGGAGGCACAAAGTCGTGCCATACCTCAGTGTCTGAAAAGTGTGGGGACAAATTTCCCCCACTGCTTTTCCCTCGGGGAACCGGCCACAATGGCTCGCTCTGCCGTGGTTGCTCAACTTGAATCAAGTGATGCTTTGAGTCAAGTTGCTTTTTCCTTCACTGAGAAACCAAAGACAGACCGCAGTTAACAATAGTTTTTAAAATAACATCTTGAGAATAATCATCACATGCTTCTTTATTACAGGAAATGCATACCAAATGTCGCCTTGTATTTAAACCTGAGAAATGGGCAGGGCGTGGGCAGGCAATTACATCACAGCCTGTGCGAGGAGGGCATGTTTTCCAGGAGTTGGTAACAATCACCCTCAGAACTCTGTCTCCTCCTGACTTGATTTCACACGTACCTGTTAGCACAGGTGCTACTAGTTAATATTATAGAAGCAAACTGACTGTCACGTGACCTTTGGATGTGCGCGGAGCATTCAGATCCCTCTGGCACACTTCTACTATGTGTGAGGAGGAAAAACAAAAAACCAAACTTGCAAGAACTCCGTCCCACGGTTTTTCTCAGTCATTGGAACTGGAGACACGATTTCAATTTCAAGGCCCCTTGAACACAGAGGTCCTTTTACAATCCTCTCCACTTCTCTGAAAAGCACAGTAGCCAAATGCTATAGGGGACATCAGAGCCAGCTACATCATTAGCGGTGCCCAGTGCAAAATGAAAACGCAGGACCTCTTGCTGAAAAAGCAGCAAGGGGGTTGTCCCCGAAGGTACTAAAGTGTAAAGCTTTTCCCTTTCTTCTGCACTTTCTCTCTTGACTTGTCATGGTGTTTCACATTTGCTATTTAATGTCATTCTAAGTAAAGAAAAATTAAAATTTTAAATTATTAGCGTGAATTTACCATTCATCTTATATAGCACAATGCCAGTTATAAATGCAAATGTGAGAACATTTGACCCATATGTCGAAGCACCAAAATTACACAATTTACATTTCATACATTTATGTGTATTTTGCCCTTACCAAAGAGTGGAAATGCTGCACAAAATGAGCTCAACTGTTCTTATTTCACTTCTTCATAGGCACACCTTCCATCACCATTCTCCACCTGTGGTTTCCTGATGAATACGGGAGGTGCAGAAGGAAAAGGAGATCTGGATTGACCTGCGTCTCTCTTTCCTCCTATCTCACCATTTTCAGTGTACAAGGATGGCTCATAAGCAGAAATCATACAAGTAAGAAAGGATAGAAGACAGCTTCTTCAACCTCCATGTTTCTTAGGGTGTCATTGCCTTAGCTCTGAAATCCAAGTTTTTAGACAGGGTCTCGCTGGAGTTTAGGCTGGTCTTAAACTCTTAAGTAGCCCAGGCTGTCTTCAAACTTATGGCAGTCCTACTGCCTCAGCCTCCCAAGTGCTGGGACGACAAGTGTGTGCCATTATGGTCAGCATCTAAGCAAGTTCTGGTTCAAATGGTGTCACTTCTCTGGGCTGTCAGCTCTTCTGCTTGCGCAGATGTCGATGTGACACTCTGGGTACTGCTGAATTCACACACATTGTGGGTCCTCCCGGAATCTGTGTTCAGGGGGCATAGTGAATGCTAAAAGCTAATGGGGTTGCAAGAACCAGCAGACACACACATCCCACAGTCTCTACTCACACACGTTCTCCATTGTCCCACCAGCCCTCATTAACAACACACAAGTTCAAAGGTAAAATTATTAAGAATTTCAAGAAAGTGATATCAGGGCATTAACCCAAAGCACAGGAACCTTCTGAGGGTGGACTCCTTTATGAGTACACAGACAGGGCTTCCTTGAGGCTAGCTCAGAGGGACATTACTTTTTAAATTTCGACATGTATTGAGCATCAGATATATGCGAGAAATAAAGAGAGTGAGACAGAACATGAGAATGGTGCCACATTTTAAGTCTTTGGGGGCTGCTGGGATGATTGTTATGTTCATGCTTCCAATAGAACTATTGCTTACTTGGCTCCTAAGATGATGCTTAAAGTTGCAAGAGAATATCTAGCACTCTTGGGGTAAGATTTATATCCCAAATTACAATGCCTTGAGGTAACCAGGAAAAAATACAAGACTTGTATGGCTGAAACATAATGCGGAACTTATGAGCTCCACTGGATGGCAATTCAAAATATATTACCTGGGAGGCCTATTCCAAAGACACAAGGGAGAGAACAAGGTGACCAGACACAGCTCCTAGCAACTTGCGTGAACGGTAAACTAGTGAGCCTTGATGGTGGAATTGGGGAAGCAGTGGCAAGAAAACAATGGTTTCAGAAAATAAGTTTTATTGTAATTGTGGTTTTTTAAAAAACCTATATAACAGAAAACCTACCATCTTACTCATTTGCAAGTGTGTAGTCCGGTAGTGTTAAGTATCTTCACATGGCTGGGCAACCAATCTCCAGAACTTCCTCATCTTCTGAAACTTAAACTCTATATCCATTAAACTGCCATGTCTCCTCCCCCAGCTCCTGGCAATCAGCACTCTACCTTCTGCTTCTTTTTTTTTTTTCTTTGCTTTTTGAAAGAGGGTCTTACTAGGCAGTTCAGGCTGGCCTTGAGCTCACTTTGTAGCCCACGCTGGTCTCGAACTCACAATGATCCTCCTGCCTCAGCCTCCTCAGTGCTGGGATTACAGGCATGCACCACCATGCCTGGCTACTTTCTGTTTCTTTAAATCCAACTGCTATAGGTCTCTCCTAATGGAACTATGCAGGATTTATCTTTTTGTGAATGGCTTATTTCACTTTGCATAATTTTCTCAAGATTCATGCAAGTTGTCTTGTGTGCTAGAACTTACTTTTTAAAACTGAATTAATATTCCATTATACATATATACTACATTTTGGTTAGTCGTTAATCTGCTGATAAATGAGTTCCTTTTGCCCCTTGTCTGTTATAAATAATGCTACTGTGAATATTTCAGTGTGCAGAAATATTTCAATTCTTTTGGATACATACCCAGAAGCAATATTAGAAGAAAACAATTATTTTAAATCATACTGTTCTATGACTGTTGGGAGATAACATGAGGTTTGGAACTGTCAGGACATTGTCTTGGGAGTCTGACGGTAAGGGAAGTAATGTGGAAGTACCAGAGCTGAAGAAAAATAAGTGTATCCCATGCACATGTTCAGCAGTGTGACCTTCTAGACTAGACAGACAAAAATTGTTGACTAAAATAAGCATGGAGACAAATACTCTAACCAAAACCTCTGAATTAGAATCAAGCAAAACTAAAACAAGGACACTGAACATGTGCAGAAGAAATACTGACCATCTAATTGTTCTTGGAAAGATAAAACTATCAAGTTTATGGGCTTGAAACTCAGTACTTGGAGCAATGCAGAAGAACCCTCCATAGCACGATAGCAATTTACAGACAAAAAGCCGTGCCCCCAGTGAGAAATTGCTACAACGCCCCAGAGTAACCCTGTGAAGATTATGTCAGTGTTCAACACTTAGATGGTCCACACCTTACCAGGCTTCACTGGTAGGTTTTAGAGTGATAGAACTATAGTGCTTATATGGATGTTAGAGATCATTAACTCCGACTGTCCTAATTTTAAAAGGAGGAAATTGAGGCCCAGAAATGTTACCATGGGATTCTCCCAGGACCAGAAAACTAATTGGTGGCAGTGGCGAGGCTGACTTTCCCAATTCTAATGGTGAATCTGTTAATATCTTCAAGGCCACCCTCATAGCAACAAGCCCATGAGATCTGACAGTACAAACAAAATAGTTGCAGCCTGAAAAGACAAGAGCTTCTGGAGTCTTTTCTGTAGCGTAGCCAGGCTGCCATTGAGGCTGTCCAAGCGCACTAGCCCAATCCAAGATTTAACAGATGTTTTTTCAAGACACATCAAGTGCTGGATGGATCCAGACACTCAGAAGCACGATGGGAGTAGTCAGGGCCCCAAACTGAAGCACTAATAGCTCTACTCTCTTTTGAATTAATTTAAGACAGTAAGGCCCCAAAATCTCATGTGAAAATGAAAATGTATTTCCCAAAAGGGACTCTATGACTCCATTACGGACATTAACATACTAGCAGGAACCTGTTGATCAGATTAGCTAGTTAGTTGTCACTTTGTTAAACATGGTATCTCTTGGCACGGAGGGAGTGGGACTCAGGACTCCCATATTTTTGTTGAGTGTGGAGAGAGCTTGCGGGGAGAAAGGCTGGCTGAGATGAGGATGTAAATGTAAGGGTCTGTTCGGGGGTCCAGAGGAAGAGGAAAGGACTGGCCACGGAATAAACAACATCTAAAAAAGAAGGTATACAATTCTCAAGGAAAAATGCACTTACCTATCCATTTTATCATGAAGGGCTGCTAAGAATGCCATCACTAAAAGGTAAATGTCACTGAGACTGTGTGCGTTGGCAGACTTTGGGGTGCTGGTGTCTCCTTCTTCGAGGCGGTTTCTAGGTTCTTTCTGTCCTGAGCAAAGAACTGGTTGAGACAAGTGCAAAAGGTGCATTTATTAAAGTTAGGGAAGAAACGTGCTCTACAGAGTAAGTTTGGACCAAGTAAAAGTAGAGGGGAAAAGTACACTCTTCAGCGTGGGAGCAGACTACTGTGAAAGAGAGAATACAGTAGTCCAGAGCTCAGTGGCAACTTTCCTGTCCCTCACTTCCTCAGGCTGATGTCAGGTCTAAGCCATCCTATCAAAAGCCTGCTCAAGTTCTCGTGAGAATTGAACATAGCACTCTCTGATTGGTTCCAAATGCAGGCTTTGGGAACTGTTCTGCACATGTGTCCTGGGAGTTTTAGTTAACTGGCCACACCTACTCTCCCAGCCACCTTGCCATGCCCTTTTGTGCAGTATAATTGTATTTGTTTGTTTGTTTATTTTTGCAATACTTGGGATTGAACCCAGGCTTTTGCACTGAGCTACATCCTCAGCCCCTTTTTAGAATCTTGAGACAAGGTCTTATTACATTACTAAATTGCCCAGGCTGGGCTCAAATTTGTGATCCTCCTGTCTCAGCCTCCCAGAGTGGTGGCACCACAAGTATGCACAACTACCACGCCCAGCTATGAAATGATTTTTGATCATCCAACAACCTCTAATACAAAGGGGTAGATTTGCCATGTGGAGCTTTAAAAACTGCACTCCAAGCTGAAAGTGGTGGCACACACTTACCATCCCAGCACTTGGGAGGCTGAGGCAGGTGGATCACAATGAATTTGAGGCCAGCCTGGGATACACGGTGAGTTCAGGGCCAGTCTGAACTACATAGTGAGATTCTCTGTCATTAAAAAAAAAAAAAAAAAAAAAAAAAAAACTGCATTCCAAACTATGTACCTTGCTGGGGAGATGGAAGAGGGGGTGACCTGGAGCAATACTCATAATAGAGGGGCAGGGTCAACACCCCATAACAAAAGACAGGTCAACAAGAGGAAAGGGGAACAAACCCATGGATGTGCACATGAACACAGAGTCCATATAAAATGTAAAAACTCAGTGAAAGGGCCCATAAGTTGATGCTTAAACATCTTCTTCCCAGGGGACGGAGAAATGAAGAGCAGATGGTGACAACTTGGAGAAAGGTGAGGAGAGAAATTTACTGCAAACAAAGGGTGTCTTGTTATTGTAGACCAAGTCTCCTGGGTAATCTCTGGGAGCTGCCCTGAGGAGACTAAATAAAAGCCTGTCTGGGTGTGGTGAAGATTTGTAGTCTCCTGTCTTCTCTGGTAGTTAATCTCTCTGGGTTACTTGATGAGATTTCCTGGGGAAGGAGTTTAAGACAATTCACTTCTTTGGGAAGAAGTTTTTTCTCTCAGATAAGGGAACTTCAGAGAGAGTCCCTCCCTGCAGTTTGGAGAGAAACAAGGGAAACTTCCAGGCACTTTGATTCTGAGGTGTTTTTTCAAGTCGGAATGTCAGCATATTGTTTTCTGAGCCCCCACACCGCTGTAATATTCCTACTTTATGGAGGATAACTACACTTGCCTGAGATAGCCTCTATATGTTCATATAAAAGGAAAAGAAGGAAAAGTGTAAGAAAAAATCCTCTGCTATTTCACCAATGGTGGAGCCACCTAGTTTGAGGTGACCATGTCCCCTCTGTTATTAGAGGATTAAGATAGATGGATATTCAAATAGACTTTTTGGGAACTGACTGAGATTAAGGCAGAGTGCATATTTATTTTCATTACCTTTATCTTTATTTTTCCTATATCCACGGGCTGCATGTTGATTCAGCCATTACAGACTGTGAAGATTCAGATAAGCTCAGGGAGAGCCCACAGCAGTGGGGGGTTGTTTTCCACTCTCTGTTTGGTTCATATGTGTCCTTTACAGCCACCATTACTGGGCGACTTGTTCCCTAAACCCAAGTCCCGGTACCCAGGAAATTCCAGAGATGCCAGGAACTTTGGGTTCAGTCGCAGAGAAATACATCCCACACCTGACCTTTGCATGGGGAATTTGTTCCAGACAGATCTGAGGGCGTCAGAGTTTGCCAAATTGGTTCTTAAGGGAGGTACCAGAGGACTTACAGTCCGGGAGACAGAGAACTCACAAGAAACTTCAAATAATAATAATACTATGACTAAAATAGTCACAAAGGCAGACTCCTGAGCAAGCCGCTGTTCCTTTGTTGCCTTATAACACTCCTGTTAGTCCCCCTTTAATTCCCTGCACCTTTCCTGCTCTCTCACACATCACTAACATCATAACAGCTCCCATTTTGAACATTGTACATTCAGGATCTCATTTATTTCCACTGTAACCTTGTTAGATAAGTGCTATTATTATCCCGCTTTTCACAGATAAGAATAGTGAGATATTAAGGGGGGAAATGAATTGCTCCAGGTCACAGACGAGTGAGGAGATAGGTCTCAGCCGTAGACTTGTGCAAGCACAGAGTTTATAGTCTTTGCCCCAAGATGTTTTGTCTCCTCGGTAACTTGGTTTCTCTGGGAAGTAGGAAGGCTCTTTACCGTTCCACTTCATACCCTATTTCTCCAGTCCTGCACTTTGGGGCCCTCGGGGTGTAGCCCTCCTCAGGAAGGGCAGGGTTTTGAGGAAAGAATCCTCTTGCCTCTGCTCATGGCCAGCGCCCCGCTCCGACCCCAAGGGGCCACGCCTGGCTGTCTGCTCAAGAGTTTCCATTCCCAAGGGATGCCCGCCCAGGAGAGGTGGCCATCTGGGAACAACCTTCCTGATGTCCCTTTGGCTACACATTTTGTTGATTTCCTTGAGTATGTTTTCTTATGAGGTTTCTGTTTCTTTTCTGGCTTGCTTTGTGACTTTACTTCATTTCTGCTTATTTCTTATTATTTGGCCCAACACACTTGTTTTCATTTGATTTTTTTTTCCCCTCTCAGACTCCTGGCCTACATGACCTGTGCTCATTTTGCCGTATGATGTGCCATTCTGTCTCTGCGTTTTGTCTGACGTCCTTGGAAGCCAAAAGTGAAACACCATGAAAATGGGATAAGGCAAATAATTCAAGCCGTTCAGCTTAGGCAAAAATGGTCTTGTGAATGAAATACACAGCTATGACTGAAATCACATCACCTCAATTGCTTACTACTTTCCTAACTGCCGAAAGCTGGAAATGTAGCCTCAGTACTTTTAAAAGGAAATAAGAAGATGAAACATTTCTGACTCTTCGGTGATTCAAGGACGGGGCAGAGAAGCCTAGGTGATCACCAGCTCAGACCCTTGGGGACAGAGAGACAGTTCTCAGCCCCGAAAAATGGAGTGTGGGCCAGCTAGGATGGGGTACAGACAGCAAAAGGGCAGTGTGCACTATCATCTCCCATAGAGAATCAGCCGTCAGACTGCATATGGCATACATGTCCATGTGTCTGACCTCTAATCCAAGATAATAGTCTGATTTTTAAAAAAAAATTCAGCTAATTTGTACTCTGTCTGGACCTAATTATTTTCCTCACACATCCAAGAATGTGTTTGGGAGACTTCCAGTAGAAAACATGGGATACTAAATAATAAAACAATAGACTCTGGTTGTGATGCTACTGAGAAAGAAATGAAAAAGACTCACAGAATAACAGATTTCCTGGGTTATAGGAGAAAGATGTTCCAAATACCACAAAATGTATGGAGTAGAAAGCCCAGCCAAATAGATCTAAAGTCTAACTAAATACAGTGAAGAGCCTTAGGACAGAACTGTACTGTTTTTGAATTTATTTAGAAGTTTTAAGAGCTTCCGGTGTGCTAAGGTTTTTAGAATCAAAGAAGTCTGATTTCAAATTTTGGTTGTGCAACTTACTGGCTAGGTGATACTGAGCACTCAATCACTTTGCCTCTAAAATGGAAATAAAAATGCTCCCATTTAGGGTCACTATGAGGCTCAACTGAGATAATGCATATAAAATGCTTACTATTGCTGGCCGTAGTGGCACATGCCTATAATACCAGCTACTCAGGAGGCTGAGGCAGGAGGGTCCTATATTTGAGGCCAGCCTGGGCAATTTAGCAAGACACTATCTCAAAAAGAAAAAAATTTAAAAGGTTGAAGGTGTAGTTCAGTAGTAGAACACCTACCTAACATGAACAAGGCTCTGAGTTCTGTCACAAGTATCAGTCAATCAATCCATCCATCAAATAAAGTGCCAGCATATAGCAATTTTCAATATATGGTCATTCTCTTATTCTACTACTGCATGTATTTCCAGTTAGCGTTTGTTGAGCCCTTCATGCATACAACTCTATAGAGTCACAAGTACCGTTTCAGGTATACTTACGTAAACATTGGAGAAAAGTTGATTTATTACTCACCTAATTTTAAATTTATAGAAATTAAAGGAAGGCTGATTTGCTCAAGGTCGTATGGCCAAGCACAGGACCAGAATCAAAGGTAAAGCTGAAAAATCCAGCAGGTCTTCTCCAGTCCTCTTTTCTAGCATCCTCGTCACCTCCAGAAATACAGTGGCGAAGACCTAACACAGGACCAGAGGGATTAGGCAGGCTTCAAAGCGACAAAATAAAGAACTGAAATTGTTCACTAAATGAGGGAAGCGAAGGAAGAAGACAGAGAGACTGGAAGACAAAAGCAGGAAGAGCTGCCCGCACTGGGACCTTCCTTCCACCCTCTACTTTCTTCTCCAAAGAGTGTCGATGTCCAGGGTCTCATTGCAAAGTCCCCACACCTAATTCAATTGGACAGGTGGGGTTCAATGGGCATGTGTGACTTGCAGCTTCCAGGGACTACAGAATATATCCAGCAGCACAACAAGACCACCCATATCCATCTCTTCTATCCATTCATATTGGCTTGTTGGTATGTTTATCAAGGTGATAGAGCAAAAATATTTTATATAGAAGTGCTCCCTGATGTACGGCAATTGACATAGGACTTTTTGACTCCATGAGATACTTAAGTGATATATTCAGTATCGCTGTACATCAAATGCTGAATTTGGATCTTCCCTGCTGGGTTAGCAGTGTGCAGTCCCAATCCTCTGGTGAGACAAGGCAGCACCGAAGTGCAGCTTCCAGTCAGCCCAGCGATCACGAGAGGAAATAACGAACCTTACATGAGGTGCTGAGTTGTTGAGCTGGGATGTGGGGTTTGCTAGGTGTATTCAATGCCTTTTAAACTTATACTATTTTCAACTTATGATGAGTTTATCAGAACATAACCCTAGCGTAAGTCAAGGAGCATATGTAACTAACAACTGCAGTTTGGAGTACTCAAATAAAATGCTAGAACTCATGAATAATGCACAATTTTGGCTGGGCATGATAGTCAACAACTATGAAACTTTAGGAGTCAGGGTCAACCTGAAACTTAATTCTAAGTCCAAGTTTTTGCAAGCCACCCAGTTCCTGCTTTTTCCGAGGCGGGAGGGAGAAACAACCGCCTGTGGTGGTTAAGGTCATCCCATGCCGAAGCTTTGATATGTTTGTGGATTCGTTACCCTTCCCTCTTTTTCTGGTAATAGCATGATTCTTCCTTAGGAGACCGCTCCTCTCTGATTGTATGCATGTAAATTTCAGAAGGCTGCCCTTCATGATAGCCTACCTATGTGGGCAGGGACAAGAGCATGGAACTGAGGCCAGATATCCACAGTGCCATCACTGGACACAATGACAATTCAAGGGATGGGCTAATCGGCTGTTCCCTTGGGTTTCTCTAAAGAGAGCCAAGAGGAAAGAGTTCTGTGTCCTTCTCTGGCCCCAGTACTGTGAGACACAAACCTAAAAGAGTGACTGCCAGGCTATCACCAAATGGGAAGAAAAAACCTGTATTGGAAAGCAATGAAGTGGGCTCACAGAAAGAATAGGAACCACGGTCCTCCTGGAGTTGATCTGCCTGGTTCTGGGTTACCCCGGGGGTCAGCTCCACTCCTGCTCTTCTTGTGGCCGAAGCTGGTATGTCTTGAACTTCTATCACTTGCAACCGAGAGTTGCAATATGGGGGGAATATGGTGGCTAATACGGAGGGAAAATGGAATTCACACATCCATTCGAGAAATTTTTAGAGGAGGACTATGAACCAGGCAATGAGAACAAAAAAAGTAGAGGGTAGGTTAGGGTCATCTTGACTCTGTCACATAATCAATAGCTCCTGAACTACAGAGCAGAGATGAGCTTCTCAATCAAACAACAAAGTTAGATCTTTCATCTCTGCATTTGTACACATAGTTTAGATTTGCATAGTATTTTGAGGAGTTACAAACAGTATTTCTAGTTACAAACATCTAGAAACTAACTAGGAACTATTTTCTTTTCTTATTTATGTATTTATGTATTTATTTATTTATTTGAGACAGGGTTTCACTACGTAGTTCAGATTGGCCTTAACTCACTTTGCAGCCCAGGCTGGCCTCAAACTCACAGCGATCCTCCTGCTCCAGCTTCCCAAGTGCTGGGATTACAGCCATGTCCCACCACGCCCAGCTAGGAACTATTTTCTAAGGGATACACAACACAGCTAGTGCTAATGATGATGGTAGAGATTCATATTTCCCCTTAGCCTCTTGCTAGCTATGAGTTGTTACTTAACTTCTTCACATTCTTACATACTTCATTTGTAATATTGAAATAATACAAACACTGAACACAACAGAGCAGCTGAAAATATTAAATTGAATCATGTACATACTATGGTAATTCGTGTAGCTATCGTCAAGTTAATTAACAGATGTTCATGGATGGATTCACTGAGGATGCACGGATATCACTTGTTTAACTTTCACAATCAACTTTATATTTACTTTTAAATATGCCCTTCTAATTATTTTTCATTATATTAATACAGGAGCCCTCTGGTGGTCAAACCACTTCTGGAGCACATACAAAATATTACCTTTATTTAAGTGTAATAAGGAATCTTATAAGGATATTATGATTACCATCTCATTAAGATAAATAAAAAGTAATGGGCATATAGGGTGTTATGGAATAAATTGTATCATCCTAAAATTCATATATTACTATCCTAACCAGAATATGCCTATTTGGAGATAAATTCTTCAAAGAGATAAACTGAAATGAGGTCATTAAGATGGGTCCTAATGCGTCTATTCAGGAAGAGAGGACTCAGACACGTACAGGTGTAGTGGATGACCCTGTGCGGACACAGGAGAAATCAGATGTCTACGAGCTAAGAAGAGAGGCATTCGAAGAAACCAACCCTGCTCAAATTTCGACTTCACACCTCTTGCCTTCAGAACTGTAGAAAGATAAATTTCTGTTGTTTAGTCACCCTAGTCAGTGGTAGTGTACCTTATTTTGCAGCCCTAGCAAACTAATGTATATAAACATAGATCCCAGTCAGTAGATGATACGAGTCTTCCTTTCAGTGTAAACTGTGCCAACAGGTGTAACTTCTTGTCTTCTCTGAGGTCCCTTTGGATAGAACTTGGGATGATGTGTGGCGTAAAGCATGGTACTAATGAGGTTAGGTTGAAAAGTTTTTTTCCAGGTGTAGACCACATAAGATTTGTCTTGTTTCAGGGCTGGGGATTTAGCTCAGCGGCAAAAGCGCCTGCCTGGCAAGCGCAAGTTCGTGAGTTCGGTTCCTGGTACCGGAGAAAAACCAAAACAAACAAACAAACAAACAAGATTTGTCTTGTTTCATGATCAAATAACATTCACTGAAAATGAAACTAAGAGCCCTGTCTGAATCCAGTGGATAACTAAGTACAATCTGAAAACATCCAGCAAAAATAATAAGGAGCATCACCTTTATTGAGAAGGTCTAATACATGGAACAGCACTTACCCCTATGAATAACTACAATTTATGATAGCATTTTGCTATAGAGTACTTTGCTGTAGTTTTTTTCCTCAACTTTGCTATGGTTTTCCCCTTATGATTGCTATTTTTATTTCTACTTCTAAAAGATAATGAAATGGAAAGTCAGAGGAGATAAGTAAAGAAGATTAGTTACAGAGGTAAAATTAAGCCTTGGCTTTTGACTCCATATCCCATGCTCCTTTTACCACATGCTACGGCCCCTCCATAATTTCTGTCTTACATGAGCCCTAATTTCAGAAAACTTCTCAAAGTATCAGTGGTAATGTGAGACTTCTTTCACAAGGACAGGGGCAGCCAATTGTACTACAGGCTTGTGTTTGTGGACTGAGCACATTCAAAAATATAGATATAATAGAGTAGAATTGAATATAAAGGTGGATATGAAATCTCCTTTCCAGAGTATCAACTTTTTGGGAGATATACAAATCTGACAAAGTTTCTACACCAGAAAGGGAGAAAAGAATAAACAAGAAATCTTTTCATTCAGGGGCTGGGGATTTAGCTCAGCGGCAAAGCAAGGTCGTGAGTTCGGTTCCCAGTACCGGAGGGAAAAAAAAAAAAAAAAGAAATCTTTTCATCCTTAAAATTTCATGTTATTCTGCGCAGACAGTACACCTGGCCCTACTAGCCATAGGGCTTGTGTCTAAGGATTCAGCCAACCAAAGTTTGAAAATATAGTTAAGCTTACAACAGCTATATCTTCACTAAACATGTACAGACATTTTTATATTACCATTATTCTCTGAATAATGGAGTATAACAACTATTTACATAGTATTTACATTATATCAGGTATTACAAGTAATCTACAGATTATTTAAACGGTAGGGGAGGATGTCTGCAAATTATACACAAGTACTATACCACTTTATATAAAGGATTTGAGGATCTGTAGATTTTGGTATGGGGGGGTTCTCGAACCAATCCCCCACAAATACTGAAGGATGACTGTATTTAATGAGAATTGGTGTGATCTCTCTGTGTTCACATAAGTACATTTTGTTAGAGTAGAATATTCAAGGTAGCTTTTAATTAGTCAGAAAAGAAGTTCTTAAATAAAGGACTCCCAATCACATTTTAATACAGAACATTTAAGTAAATAAGAATTGACGGAAAAATTATTTAACTAGTAGAATTCAGCACTAGTAAGGTGCTCCCGTGCCAGATAACTGAATTCAAATAGATAAAACTACTGCATTAAAAGCAGTAAGGTCTGATTGATGCGGAGTCCATTCATTCGTGATGATTTAATCTAGACCAAGCTGACATTTACCTCTGCACTTTCTCTGAAGAGTAAATGTGCTAAAAAAAAAAACAAAAAACACCATAGTGTAAACAAGAATGGGTGAAAACATTTTCATCACGTGTAAGCAAAAATAATTGTTTTAGGAAGCCTTGGCAGATTCACTGTAAAGCAAATGTATACAACCCACTATGTAGGTACAGAGATGTGATGTGCTCAGTTTGTTGATCCATTAGTGAATACATAAATACAAAGTATGCAGCTTTCTGCCCCTCAGAGAATGCCCTGGAGTGTGTCTGCCCACCACAGTGGTGGTTCCGAGTAGGCCTCCAAGCAGCAGTGTCCACCTCACCTGTGAACATGTCATGCACGCTAATTTTGGGGCCTCACCTCAGACCTACTGAATCACACATGCTTGGGGTGGGGTTCAGC